GAGAATATCTCCACTCTAAACTTGATAATCCTGAATTAGAAGAAGAAATTATTAAGACATCAAATAAAGTAGTAGTTAGAAAAACGACGGAGAAAATAACTAATGAACGTAAGAAAGCAGCGGTTACGGCTATTCAATTAACTACGACTCCTGAAACTTGTAAAGAAATTGTTTCCGAACAAAAGAAAGATGGACGAATTGAATTAAGCGAGACTATTAAAAAAGAATTAGACATTCCATCAACCGAAACTTTAGTAACCACCGTTCAAAAATATACTATAAATGAAAAATTAAAGAAACCCGAATCAACATCTTGGTGGACAACAGCCGTAAATCTTAGCTATCTAAAAAATGCCGCTGCTCAACACGAAGGAGAATGGAGAGATAAATACAACAAAGCTCGTGAATATCTCTCTTCTCAAATTGGAGATTCTGATGCAGAAAAAGAAATTTTAGAAGTCACGGATAAATATGTAGTTGACAAAGCAACACATAAAGTCATTGAAGATCATAAACAAGAAGTAATTGCCGTTGAAAAAGAGAAGAAAGAAAAGAGGCAAAGTATTCTTGAAAATATAACTGGTGGTATAACGAGTTTATATAAAACCTCTACCGAAGCAACTAGGGATCTTGGAAAACATATAGGACAAGCTCTTACTTTTGACACCGATGAACACGATCATCAAGAAAAAGCAGCAGCCTTAATAGTTGTTCAATCAAGTACCACTCCTGAAAAAACAAAATCGATTGTTACAACACAAAAGAATGATGGAAGCTTCGAGTTAAGTCAGACTATAGTTAAAGAGTTAGATGTTCCTGCAAAAGAAGTCGTGACAACTATTCAGACATATACTACTAATGAAAAACTAAAGAAACCTGAATCAGCATCTTGGTGGAAAACAGCATTAACTCTTAGTTACCTTAAGAATGCCGCATCTCAACACGAAAAAGAATGGAGAGATAAATATAATAAAGCACGAGAATACCTTACTTTACAAATTGGTGACGCAGAAGCCGAAAAAGAATTGCTAGATACTACAGATAAATATGTGGTCGATAATGTGACTAAGAAAGTAATTGTTGAGAAAAAGAAAACCGCAATAATTGCTATCCAATCTCATACAACACCCGAGACCGTCGAAACAGCTATTTCCTCTCAGAAAGATGATGGTTCATTTGAAATTAGTGAAACAATTACTAAAGAACTTGATGTCACTTCTCCCGAAGATCTTATTACTTCAGCACAAGATGTCACGAAAAATGATAAACTTAAATATGTTGATGCTTCTATTTGGAAGACTGCTTTGACCCTTGGATACCTCAATACTACTGCACCCCAACATGAAAATACCTGGAAAGATAAATATGATAAAGCCCGAGAATACCTCCACGCTAAACTTAATAACCCCGAATTAGAAGAAGAAATTATTAAGACATCAAATAAAGTAGTAGTTGGGAAAACAACAGAAAAAATAACTAATGAACATAAAAAAGCGGCAGTTACGGCTATTCAATTAACTATAACCCCTGAAACCTGCAAAGAAATTGTTTCCGAACAAAAGAAAGATGGACAAATAGAATTAAGTAAAACTATTAAAAAAGAGCTAGACATTCCATCAACCGAAACTTTAGTAACTACCGTACAATCATATACGACAAATGAAAAATTAAAGAAACCCGAATCAACATCTTGGTGGACAACAGCCGTAAATCTCAGTTATCTAAAAAATGCCGCTGCTCAACACGAAGGAGAATGGAGAGATAAATACAATAAAGCTCGTGAATATCTCTCTTCTAAAATTGGAGATGCTGATGCTGAAAAAGAAATTTTAGAAGTCACGGATAAATATGTAGTTGATAAAGCAACGCACAAAGTCATTGAAGATCATAAACAAGAAGTAATTGCCATTGAAAAAGAGAAGAAAGAAAAGAGACAAAGTATTCTTGAAAACATAACTGGTGGTCTAACGAGTATATACAAATCTACTGCCGAAGCCACTAGGGATCTTGGAAAACAAATTGAACAGGCTTTCACCTTCGACGAAGATGAACACGATAATCAAGAAAAAGCAGCCGCATTAATAGTCGTTCAATCAAATATAACACCTGAAAAAACAAAATCGATCGTTACAACACAAAAGAATGATGGAAGCTTCGAAATAAGTCAGACTATAGTTAAAGAATTAGACGTTCCTGCAAAAGAAGTCGTGACAACCATCCAGAAATGTACTACTAATGAAAAACTAAAGAAACCTGAATCAGCTTCATGGTGGAAAACAGCATTAACTCTTAGTTACCTTAAGAATGCCGCATCTCAACACGAAGGAGAATGGAGAGATAAATATAATAAAGCACGAGAATACCTTACTTTACAAATTGGTGACGCAGAAGCCGAAAAAGAAT